TAAATATGAGAAGCATGAAATCTAAATCAAAAAGTCTTTCTCATGTTTGCTACTCTTGTCTTTATAAAATCATAATATTTAAATACCTTAATTTAATTGCTACTTGAGTTAAAGATGTTTGAAAATGTTTAAACAAATGCTTGAAACTACACATCATTCCAAGATTTATTCCTAACCATTTTTTGTCTTGTTTATTCTTGGATACAATTCTCAGAAAAAGAACAAGAGTGATGTAAATAATTTGGTTTATTTATTTGAAAGAAGACCACACACATATATATATATATATATATGTCATCCACAGACTGTTTCACAGCTGATCAGTGTGGCTAGACATCTGATTGCCTCAAACCACGATCGAAACCCGACTGATTTGGTATCAGTCGGAGATTTTACCCCTAAGCCATTGGCGCATGGCAGGGATTAAGGTGAATTAGGACTTATTTATTTTTAGACAAACATGCCAGTGACTGGAGAACTCTATTTGTCTTAACAACAGTATTCACATTATTGAACAATGTATTTACAGTTTTATTTCAATATATTCTACCATTTTTTTTTAACCATTTCATATTTCAAACTCCTCCAAAACGTTTTATCCTTCTGTGTAAAAAAAAAAAAAAAAAAAAACTATTCTAAGTGCCTTTTTCTGTTTTTTGAAGAATTAAAACTTTTTCCTATTGAAAGAACTCTGTAAAAATTAGGATATGATAATCCAAAGAAAAAGATACAATGTTAGATGAATACAGCTAGTGAATGGAAACTTCTTGGTCAGATTGCCATAATTTTTGCCTGGTCACATAAGAAACATGCAATCTAGTATTTTTATGTCCTTTCTCCATACTAATTTTGGAAATGCTTTTCATGAACTGCTGCTTTCAAGCAGTTGACTTGGTAACATTATCTGTTCAAATATCCAGAATGAACTCCTAGTAAAGGACTTCATTTCTCTCCCACTATATATACATCATATTTAGAGGAACACTTTAATATGGTTCGTGTGGATTTATTTTGCTTGTTCTGTTGTCTCTTGCATTTAATGTTTTTGCAAAGTATTCAATTTTCATCACCCCTCCTCCTTACAATAGAACATTTAAGTAGTCTGATAGTTTTTTTTATTATTATTTTATTTTTATCTGGAAGCCATACATGAAAGCGGGTAACATAACCAAGCTAGTGTAAATGATATTCAATACTTAAGATATTAGAAGTTATTGGCTATCTCCCATGTCAAATAACATTGATTATTCTCAAATATTGTCTTCATTTAATTTTTTTTATCGACCTCAATTAGTTTGAGTAAAACTTTATCTTTTCTTAAGAACCTTAATATGCTAGAAATATTTTCAATACATTAGTAAGTACTTATCACTTACTAATATACTGGAAATATCTTTTTAATTGTTTAGATCAATAAACAAAAATGCACAAATTTTGACAATTTTTTTTTTTTATATACTTTTAATTCAATGATTAATGATTAATTAAAACTTAATAGTCCTAGTGCCATCTAATAGTAAAATCTAATCAAAATTATGAATTTTTTTCATCTGATTTTAGATATACATGTTTCTTTTAACACACTTCAGTCTTTCAAAAACAAAAAAAAACTTTCTGCAGAAGCCATGTTTGTTTTTTTTTTTTTAAATTACTTAGTCTGGTGTAAGGGCAAAATCTGTTTGCAATGCCTAGTGTTTCTAAATGATCAGCTACCTAAATGAACAGGTTTGATGTTGCTTAAATTCAGTGATTACATTGCAGATAACAAAAAGGAGTTACATGGAATTCTGAATCTCCATGTCGCAAATAAAAAGTTGGTAGATAGTAGCACAACTTTATTCAATCTAAGAGCTTTATGTTTTTTTTTGTTTTTTTTTTAATAACTAGTATTGTCAACTATTAAAATTTAACAAATGTAACTTTGATTAGTTTTGAAGGAAAGCATTAATTGACCAATCCAACTTCATACAAGGGAAATAACTTTCTATCTTAGGAACTAGTCCCAAAGATTCATTGGATAGTTACTTCCTAGAAAGAAATTGTTTTCATTTTTAACTGTTTCTATTCTAAAAATTTATACTGGTATGTTTGTTTTTTGTTTTTGTTTTTTATGCACAGATATTAGTGTATATATTTTTTTTTTTTTTAACCAAAAATTACAATCTTTTCTTAGAATCTATAAATCTCATGGAGTTCAGAAATAAATGAAACGAATAGGAACATTACTGCTGCCTGGAGTTAAATTTATTATTTAATTTGTATTTTTTTAATGTTGTACTTGTTTGATATTGTAAATTCTTGGAATAAGTTGAAATATTTTTGCAGGGGTACAAAGTTTTATTAGAGCAATAAAAAGGGACAAGAAGAAATTTTATAATGAAAAAGGGGTAGCAAAAAATATTACTATAAAATGGTAACACAAAATACAATTTGATTAACAAAAAAAAAATTGCTAAACTAGTTCATTAGTTCTCTCTTATTAGTGCTAGAATTTTTTTTT